ACTCCACATTCTATTTCCATTAGCCATAAAACAAAGTCAAATTGTAAAAATTAACTTCCCATTATTGAAGACTGTAATTGATGGAATGGTAATATTACTATAATTATAAAATAAAGTCAAGTGGTGTCTAAAGAAGATAGAAGGACAATATAATTGCAAGAATGGTGATATTACTATACAAAGCAATTTCATACCATATAATTTCCAAAAATATATTCATTCAAATACTTTGTGAAAAGGGACTAATGGCTACAAAAATAAATGAGACCTACTCATACTTGTTATTGCCTTTTATTATTGTGCTTCATGATAGACTGTAAAATATTTTAGTCACACAATTTGGATTCTAAAGGTAAACTAATTATATTAAAATATATAAAAGTTCATTCATTCAAATCCCATTTGACGACAGAAAAAAGGATTTCAAGAAACTCTCAATGCAATATAATCTCATATTCTATCAGATCATATATGTTACCATGTAAAAAAAATTCTAATTTACAAGATACCTTTATGCTTAATATGGCTTTACTTTGTTTAGCAATGGAAGCTTTTTATAAGAAGATATTTTATGTAAGTAAACTTCTTGAGTGGAATGATCTGAGAAACCACTCTAAACATGTCATTGTATCCAGTATCTTAAATGGAGGTATCTTTGAACATATATGTTAGATGTCAACTAGCATCTAAAATATTATCATGCATTAAAATAAGAATACCCTAAAATTGCCTCTTGAAATAAGCGGTAAAATAACGGCACAAAATATTATCAAATATTGAAATAATGCAAGTCCTCCAATCACTATTACTTGCAAGTCATAAATGTCTATTGTGATAGATTCCACATTCTAGCACCTCCCAAACTTAATTTCTACTAAAGAAGCAATTGACAAACTCTTAAAAAGAGCTAAAACAAAAAAAAGAAAGAAAAGCAAAACATGTCTTTGATCTTTAAAATCATCTTTTTACTTCTCATATGCTCTTCCAATACAAAATCCTAAGAACCCTTGGGGCAGTTATATAATGAAAACATAAAAATATCCTCTGAAACTAAATTATCTATTAATATTGATAACCTATTAGTAGAATTAATGCCTGAAACTCCCTCAAGTGGCTTTATTTTTGCCTCATATGGTAAAGGGCAAGACCAAGTTTATGGTCTATCTCAACGTAAGCAAGATGTGAACGAATAAGACTACTCTATTTGTATACAAGATGTGGCAAAACAAATTAGAAAGAGATGTTTAGACCAAGCTGATGTAAGAATTTAGTATGATTACTGCATTTTAAGGTATAGTAATGAGAACTTTATAGGAATAGTTGATACATCTTTCAGTATATTCTATTGGAATGTTGAGAATGTAAATGATACTAAAGCTTTCAATAAAGAACTGGGATCTCTGATAGATGAGATTAAAGTAGAAGCTGTAATGGCTAAAAACAAAGGGCTTGGGAAAGGGAAGGCCAAGTTATCTTCATTCGTGACACTTTATGCATTGGTTCAATGTGCAGGAGACTTGTCTAATATATCTTGTACTCAGTGCTTAGCTATTGTAGAGAGCAACTTTGCCACCTTTTGCAAAAGTCATAAAAGATGTAAAGTGTTGTATAGTTCTTGCTATGTCCGATATGAGCTCTATCCCTTCTTTTTCCCTCTTGATTCTAACATCAAAGAGCTCAACAAAATTGAAATGGCCATCGTTTATCTATGAATGTTTTAATAACACTCTTAATTGCCATGTTATGTTATCTGTTTCAGCATGAAAATCCTACAATCTCAAAAGTATATGTAAAGATTGAAGGCTTAATAGTTGTTGTTCACCAGTTTATTGGAAGGTCTTTTTAGAAACAACAATAAAATGGTAAAGCTCAACAATACTGAAATGGCCATTGTTTATCCACAAAAGTTTCAATAACATTCTTAATTTCCATATTATGTTATATGTTTTAGCATGAAAATTTGAAAATTAGAAGTATATGCAGAGATTGTAGGCTTTGTAGTTGTTTATTACTTCATTGATAGGTTGATAGGTCTTTTCAGAAAGTGTTGTGAATGACTCAGTGATAGAGATAGATAAAATAAACTCCAATGAAAATTTTGAATGAACCAGTTCAGATGGCTGTATATGTCTGTGTGACTTGTGTGAGATTATTTCACTTAGATTTAGCATCAGATTAATTAAAGCTTTTTAACTCCTATGAAGGTTCAATCAAAACACTAATTTAGTTAGCATACAAGTCAGGTGGAAATCATAATTCTCATATATCTTTCAAAAGTGTGTAGTTTGTAGGAGAATTATGCATAAGTTTCTTATAACAGAATTAAATACTTGTTATTTTACTCTACTAAGTTGTCAATGAACCTTATGGTAATTAATAGGATATTGAGGGATCTTAAAGCAATTTTGTCATTATTAATTACTAGTTTTGTTCTTAGATTTTTTTTTCTAAAATAAAAACTAAAATTTGATTTGTCACATGTGTTCTTTAAATAATAGATATCACATCAAAGTATAAAAATTTTTTATGTGAGAATCAAGTGTTTCTCATATGATATGTAATTGAAATTTCAAAATATATACTCACTAAATGATATTTTACAATTTTAGATCAAGTGGCTCTATCTTCAAAAATAAAAATGTAAATTTAATCTATAATAATGAAATAAAACTTAAAAACAATATGAAATTTAACGTGGAAAACCCTCTAATGTTGAGGAAAAAACCTCAAGACAACTCTGCTAAAGTTTCATTATTTCAAATTAATTACATTGTCCTCCACACTTATAAGTCATAATACAAAAGGTATAACAATTATAATGTTCTTAAATATTACAATTCTAACTAAAGCAGTAATTTTTCTTGGACTTTTCACACTCAAAAGACCATATCTTTTCTTCAGCCACAAAAAAAGGGACCATATCATTTATTACTTCTCTATGTAACTTGGCTCGCTCTATGCCTCTCCTTTGAAATAATAAAAATTGACCTCTTTTTTCTTGTGAGTTTTCAGCTTGAGTGATAGGACCACTCTTTTCAATTTTTTCCTTGCAAACCACATGAAATTTGATATTTACATATATCAATTCCTCACTTTGCAAAAAAAAATCCACATACAAAATTTGTTTTAAAGGCTACAAAAGTAAGCTGGTAAATACAATTAAGTGATCATCGTACTCCCAAAAATGAACGTGTATATGTGTGTGTATCAAGTGCTCTAGTACCTTGTTATAATGATTCAGTGATCAGAGCATCCACAGCAGTCTTCATCCATCTGTGAAATGGAGAGTTGCAACTAACATAGAATTTAAAAAAGAAATGGAGTTTAATAGAGACTCAAACAAGGAAATTAAAATAGCAAACAAAACCCCCTTCCTTTTTACAGCAAGCAAACACAACATCAAAGAGGAAGTTAATAATTTACTTGCTTGTGCTTTAAAATATAAATTTTAATAGATTATTGTAATTGAAAAAGAATCAATATTTTTCATGATACAGACATAAACCCTTTGACACAAATATTAGAAACATCTTTGGAAATATCTGTAAAAATACATTGTCTTTTTCATTTTACTTCAAATCCTAACGCATTTCTCTTTAAATCCTATCTTCCTCGTTGTAGTTGAAAAATTGAACTCGAGTCTATCATATTCATAAAGCTTTAAACAAGATCCATTTTCACAACAAAACTCAAGCTTCCCAATCATTTCTTGTGCTTCAAATAATTAATGAAAACCTTCAAGGACTATAGTTAAATTATATCAGTCTACCCTATATAAATGCTCTTTAGTGTGGACTGTAGAAAAATAGGCTTAGCTAAAATGCCCTTCAACCTATTAGCTAAAACCCTAAAGATCACATTGTAAGAATAATTAATCAAGCATATAGGTAGAAAGTGACTTACCTCTTCAAGCTGATAAATCTTCAAGATGAACACAATATTAGTCTAATTTATTTGTTGTAGAGAAACACTTTCCTCCAGCAAAGATTTAACCATTTCAAACACCTTTTCACCTAATATTTCCCAAGTAGATTGATAAAAATCACATAAAAACCCTTCCAGTCCTTATGCTTTTGAGTCTCCCATAAAAAACATGAATCCTTTCACCTTCTCAAAAAGTCATTTTCCTGCATAACAGCATCCACTCTACTGACATTCTTCTCTACATAATTCAGCACTCTACTAGTGATGTTAGGATAGGAGAGAAAGGTAAGATAGATTAAAGCAGAGAAGAACAAAGAGGGAATAGAGAGAATCAAAACACTGAATCATTCAAGCCATAATCTGAGTTATAAAGTAAGTAGTATTTATAGGCTCAACATCCCAACTACCCTAACAGTTATTTCTTGTTATTCCCTAACTAACTTTATAACTCCTATTTTTTTCACTTATGTAATTATTATTATACAACACAATATGCATGAAAAATAATAGAAATGTTCTAGAGTACATTTTTTTTTACCCTAGATATGTTATAAATACTCTAGAATATTGCTTGCCAAGTTATAAAAGAATAGATTATAGTACTATAAACTTTATATGTATATTCCCAAAACTAAGTTTGAACTTAAAGCTTTAAAAACATGAAGAAAGTAAAATAGAAAACCTAATATAAGGAGCAAAAGAAGTTAATTGCAGACACACCTATAAAATTGATCCTAACTAGTTTAAAGGCCAAAGAAGTAAGGTGGAAAATAAAATTAACCAAGAAGTACTCAAGTACCTTGCTCATGAGTGATGAATTGGAGCATGTCAGAGTAGGCTTCTTCTATTTGTATAATAGATTGACTGCAACCAAAAAGAATTTGAAAATGAAATAGAAGTCAAAATTTTTAAAGCATTCTGATTAAATATTCATACATGATGAAGGTGAAAAAACTATGTCTTTATTATTTTTTCCCTAAAAGCCAGTTACGCACATTTCTTTGTAAGAAACAAAATCTTTTGTGTAATAGTTATGAGCCTACGATTGAATACCTTTAGATGGATGCCAGGAAGAATCATATCTGATAGCCATTAATCCATATGCTAGGGATGTGAGAAATTTTGGGCCATTCTGAACCTCTTCCTCTCTCACATTTTTGCAATAAAAGTAGATCTCCATTCAATTGCAGTGATTGTAAATTAACAAGGCGTTGTAATCCGTCAGGTAATGATTGCAGATTTTGACAATTATGAATGACGATAAATTGTAGCGATCGGAGATCACAGATCCAGTCAGTTAGAGTCCTGGGATTTTCCGAGAAGAGAATGTTGATTGTTTGGAGAGAACGAAGGCATTGAAGTGCTTGACACAGTGTGCTAAAACCCTCATTAACGCTCCATGGATCAAGGTTATTAATGCCTTGAAAAGTGACTTGTTCAAGTTCAGCAGGTAGATGTTGCATATGACGAAACACACTCACTAAACTTGATAAGCCACCAATAGAAAGATTCTTGAGAGAGGTAAGATTTCGCATCCACCCTTCTGGTAAAGCTTCTACGTCCATATCTTGAAACCCTAAATACTTGAGCTTAGAAAGAGAAGGACATGAATCTTGTGTTGCGGACGATCCACTTATGCTAGCTTTTACAATGTCTAGCAATGGCTTCGTGCTACAATTCTTCAAAACCAAGCGCTCCACGAGACTGAACGTAGGCATGGAACTCAAGTTTGGACAATCTTGAATTATTATATATGAAAGGCAAGGAAATGGAGGCAATGAATGATGCATTTCATTACCGATTACATTATTGACATCTGCTTCCTTTTGCCATCCCCTAAAATTTTCACAATCAGAAAAGTTCATATCCTTCAAAGATGAGAAGAAGCTAGTTCTATGTAATGAGGAACAACCTTCATTATAACATATATATTTCAAATCATCCATGTTCCATATACATAGAGTCTTGAGAGAAACCAATGCTTCCAATGATGGCAAGTATTAACAATTCCCACAACTATAGAGTTTTAAGTCTACAAGATTTGTGAGTGAAGAAAGCCAACTTGGAAATCTCAACCTTGGGTAATCTTCTACTGTCAATTGTTTCAAACTTGGATGAGGACATAACTTTTCTAGAAGTTGTAAGCTATCACTATTTTTTGACTCTATAGCTCTTCCCTAATCAAGTCTCAGAGACTTAAGGTTCTTCTTTGCTTTCAAATTAACATCCTTAAACTCTTCTTCAACTTCCCTTACTAAGTTGAGATTCTCAATAGATAATTCATCTTTAAGATTGAATTCTTTCAGTTCATTCAGTTTTGCATATTTTCTCTCCTTATCAGTATCATTGCCCACTCTGAAATCTGATAAACTTTGCAGGGCATTTAATTTCTCCAGCCCAATTGGCATTCCACATTCAAAGGCCTTACAGTTATTAATACGAAGATGACGTAAGTTGACCAACTTTGGGACACAATCTATGGAAAATCTAAGAGCATAACATCCCATTAGTTTCAGAGTTTGCAAATTGACTAGGTTGCTTACACTGTTGGGCAAGCTAGTTAAATTCTCACAATGAGAGAGATTAAGGTATCTTAAATGCTTCATTTTACCTATTGAGTTAGGCAAATCTTTGATGTTTAGACTATCTGATAGGTTTAGACTCCGCAAGCATTTGAAGTCTAACAAACTAGAGGGATTGATCTCCAGTAGTCTTTGTATTCCAAGGATAGTTCTCAATCTATTTGCATTCAACAAATCTAACAAACAGTTGGAATCACAGTCAAAGGAAACATGCATAGGAGTTGCAACCATTTTTCTCCTCTCATTATATAACTGATAATCAGAGCTTGCAACAGATTGCAAGAGGTCATGTACCAAATTGTGTATTTTAAAGTACTTTATTTCACCAAATTCGTTCATCTCAACATCTTGAAGAAATGACCTCATCAACAAAACACAAACATATTGTTCGCCAACATCTTCTAAACACTGTTTTTCATTTTGACTATCAAGAAAGCCCTGTGCCATCCATAATTCAATCAAGTCATCCTTATCATATCTCCAATTTTTTGCATATAAGGAACAATAAGCAAAGCACTGTCTTAATTCAAAAGACAGTTGATCATAGCTTAGTTTTAATACAGGCATGATTGAATTATTACTTTCATATAGCTTCCAAAAGTCATCATCCAATATAGATTCCCAGTTGTTTTCCTCCATTTTGGATTTTAGCATACTTCCCATAGCTCTTATTGCTAACGGTACTCCTCCACATTTCTCTACAATTTTTTGGCCAATAGGCTCAAGGTTTTGGTTCATTACTCCTTCTTGTCCAATTGTTAAAGTTTTTAACAAAACCCAAGACATATCATTTGTTAGACTTTTCAAAACATATGGGTTTTCTGCACCCATGCATCTTGCTACCATTTGATTACGGGTAGTCACTAAAATCTTACTACCTTCAACACCACACATCAAATACTTTTTCAAATGTAACCACTTTTCCTGATCTTCATTCCAAACGTCATCGAGGACTAGCAAATATCTTTGGCCATTTAAATTCTCTTCAAGTTTATTTTGAAGCAATTGTAATTGTTGGTCATTTACATCTCTACCAATTGATGATTCTAATATTTTTTTAACCAGTGCTTTCACATGGAACTCTTCAGAAGCACACACCCACATTTGCTTATTGAAAAATTTGTTCACTTCAGCATTATTATACACCAGCTGGGCAAGAGCTGTCTTACCTAAGCCGCCCATCCCAACAATGGCAATCACGGAAACACTTTGATTGCTATCAATGTTTAGCAGTAAATCAATGATCTCCTTCTTGCTTTGATCCCTACCAATGATATACTCTTCATTCTTAGAACTAGTTTCCCTCCAGTTACTCTCATTCTGCCTCATTACTAAAACTCTTGAATGCAAATTCAACTTAGAAACATCTTCTGCAACTGCATTAAATCGCTCTCTGATCTTTTTTATCTTGCGAGCAATTTTTAGGCGGAAGGCAATTGGATTTGAGGATGAGAAATAGTCACGTACCTTTCTTTTGCCATCTCTTTTGCGAAGCAAATGTTCAGTTTGTAAATCATCAAGCAAGTCATCTGCGTTGAGAAGAACTTGTTTGAGCCTCCTTATCCATAGCTTGATGAGCTGGTCGTTCTGCTGTTTTCGCTCTGCATCAACAAGCACAGCTTTGATGGCTTCCAGTGTCTCTGAGCCTTTCTATTTCACTGTCGACCCCATAAATCGATGCAATTTCTTTGAAGGCTGATGAAGCTAACCTGTTGATGATACTCACAACCACACCATAAGGAACTTGTTCGGCCATTTTTCTGAGTAAAGGTGCAAATTGTAGTCTGAAAATGGAGAGAGAGAGATGTATCACAGCATGGAGCTTAACATTAGAGAAAAACGACCTCAACCTCAAATTGTTGACTTCTGACAATGGAAATTACGAAGAAAAGTATACACGTTTGCTTTGATGTCCCACTGCATAGATAATTAATATTGTCTAGTGGCATCCATTCTTTATGGTTGATTACTTGATATTCTTCGAAGTCCATCTTCGGTGCTTATGCTAGCTGCAGGTAGCCACCATGGTGCTCATCCTCTGTGAGATTTTTACCATTTTAACTTACCATTTTTTAAACAATAAATTTATTTATTTTTTAATAGGGTAAAAGTTAAGAGATTATTTTCATTTTTAACTCTGCGTCTATTAAAATAAATTTTTTAAAAAATATAAAAATAATTAATATTCAATTTGAATAATTTAGACTTAATCCAAATGATCCAAATTGATATACAGGAGCCAGAACCATATTCTTCCCCGCGCCACGAAACCCCATCATTTGTCAATTGTAGCAATATCCCAAAAAATGCATATTTCATTTAAAGATTTAATAATAATAATAATAATAATAATAATAAAAGGATATGCAGTGGCAGTAACAAGGAAATGCAGGAGAGAGGAAGGGAAGTGTATGAGAAAATGAATGTAATAGAAATGGTTTGAAAAAGTCCACGCGTTTAGTTTTGAATTGACTAATTGTCCTTGAGTAGCTTCCCGGAAATTAATCTGGACCCCCCCCCCCAAATGCATTTATTTTATATTAAATTTAAATTTGATGAATAATCTGAATTGTTTCAATAAGTGTCTCAATTATAATTTTTAAATTTTATCAATATTTAAAAATTATCAAAATATATTTTTTTAAAAAAATTTAAAACAATTTTCATGATTAAAATGCTCTTAATGTATACTGTTCTTTTTAAAAAATTTGATATTTAATACTTTTCTAATACTATATCACAAATTTTTTTATAATTATTCAATTACATCAAACACTTGTTACCATGACACTTGTTACCTTGGCATTTCACATTTGACATTTCACTTTGTTTCTGTAGCGATGATTATGAAGAGACCAAAAGGGCTTAATGGGCTTCGTTGACATGACTGTTGACGACCACTCGGCCCATTAGTTGTTTACACTCTCGAAGCCAGTGTTCTTGGGCAGATTCGAGAGCTGAAGATTACAACAAACCTTTCCGGAGAATTCTGCATTTGGATCGAGGCTTCAGAGTTGAGAACGCTTTTTTAAAGGGTGAAGAATATTAATCGCAAAATGACAAACCTTTATTAATCAAAATTTTTTGGATGAACCCTTTATTAATCAATTTAACAAATCACAGTGAGTATAACAAACCCTGGTACAATGATTTTACAAAAGAAAACATATAATTTATCTATTTATAAGACACTTACAATATATTTTATCAGAATTAAAGAAAATCTTAAAATTTATTAATAATTTTTTAACTTTACCTCTATTAAATATATATATATTAATTTTAAAAAATATTTTTTTCTCTTCAATATTCAATAAAAATCAAATGAAAACATTTGTGATAAAAATTTAATGAAAACTTATAAATAAAATAAAAATACATTTTCTCTTTGTCCTATAAATAACTAAATAGGACCGGAAATAATATAATTAGTGGCCAAGCTAGGAGGGATAGAAGATAATTTAATTTAAAAATTAATTACTATTTTTTAAAAAATAATAATTTAATAACTAAAACTAATAATTATATTAAGACTGAATTTGAAACGATATAAGTAGATAAATAATTTTTTTTTAAATTATGTTGAATCTGTTGACATATCAATGAATCCTTTTTTGAAGGGTATTAAATCAGCTCCAAACTATGGGATGAAACAATGAGAGAATAATACTCTAATAAAATTTTTTACTTTTAATATAATGTTATACTCTCTCTATTTAAAAATATAATGTATTTTTTTACCAAATCTCAATCTTAATAAAGTAATTAGTTGTCTTTAAATTAATATCATCTTTTTATATTTACTTTTATTTAATATGATATTTCACTTTAAAATAAATATAAATTTATTTATTTATTATGGACATTTATAAAAAAAATACATTAATTATAATTTCAAACATGAAAAATATCTTATATTTTTTAAATATTTAACCCTTTAAACAAAAGTTTTACATTTTTTTTAATGGAGAGTGTAGCTCTTTTATACAAATATTGGGATCACCAATTGAATAGGTGATTCACACTAACCGATTTGACTGATACATCCTTTTAGTAAACATCAATGTCTTGAATGAATCAAATTTCTTATACTATTAAAGAAACATGAAGAGTGTTGAAGAATCAAAGATATAAAAGAAAAGTGAAAATTATTGAAGATTCGTAAATGACTTATGAAAACTAATGCACAGGAGGAAAGAGTATTTTGGTATTCTCATTTAAGAAAAATATTTAAATAAATTAGGTACATCATATCATTTATAATCTATTTAATTAAAATATTTCAAGTAATCAAAATAAAATTTTGTGTGATATTTTTAATTGATTTTATTTGTATAACAAAATGTATATTTCATTTCTTATTTTTTTTTGCTATCATTAAAATCAAAATCAATTTATATTTAATATTATCTAATTATCATATTTTTATTATACAGATAATAAATAATATGATACATTCAGTTTATTTAAATATTTGTCCTTATGTAAATACATGCTTTCCCCCTATGGACCGAGGTCTCTCAAAAGATTTATTTCAAAAATTCGGGATTTATGCGCAAACACTTGGGCCTTTGTACCCTGTGCCCAATCGTCCCATTCATTTATGAGCTATGCGACCTTTGAAAAGGGAAAATGTAAATAAGGTATTGCTTGTGGATGTGGTGGCGAATCCATAATTTGGTGGTCCAGTTTGCAAGCGACACATCAGTTCATTAATACTTTGGAGGCATTCTAGAAAGAGAAAGAAAGAAAAGGACACCGATTAGTTTGAAGATAGGACGTATATAATGCTGGTTCCTTTAATCCAATGTGACTGAGACTCAGTAATAACGACTCAGGATTCATTTTTTTTTATTTTTTCAATACTTTGTCAATTTTGTAATCACTATTACATCATCGTGATGTCACCCATATAGGCTAAAAAATATTGCACTTAAAAAAAGTTACATTTATTATGCTAGGAAAATTAAACAAAATGAGACTTATAATTACAGATTAATAAAATATTGCCAATTACTAATCAATATTCCATGAGTGTATTTTTTCAAGCATTTGTTATTCAAAAGAAAAGACACTTTAAGGAATGTTACTATGTATGCTATGTAAAGAATTGCAAAACTGCCCATGTTTCTAAGCCCTTGAACATATATGGACTTAGATAAATTTTTTATATTGTACCGAACATCATTTGAAAAATATTTTGTTTTTAATTTCTGTCTCAATTATTTAACTTTTTTCCAAAAAAATATTTTTAAATGTACCGTATATTCTACTAGAAATCTTATCTGTGATAAAGCAAAGAGAAAGACAATTTGAATTTGTATAATCAACAGAGTTGTCTAATTTAATGGTGATTAGGTTAAAAAAAAAAAAGCCCATTTTAAAATACTAGCACATCAACAATGATTGAGTCAACTCAAAAAGCTAATTCCTTTTAGTCAGAATCAAATGTTTGAGCTTGCAAGTTGCAAGTGAAAAAAAAAATTGTATTAAGAAGAATCTCTTATTATTGGCTTGACATTACTTAAATTTAATTTAATAATACTGAGTATCATATATGTGTATATTTATTATTGACATATAGACTTAAAAGAAATTGAATGACTATCAAGCACTGGTTATGATCTAGTGAAGGAATAAATTCCTCTTAACTAGAAAGACTTTGAGTTCGATTCTTGAACATGCAAAAATGATTAAATTTATCGTAGGTATGCCTCTAAAAAGATACTCACAAACAACTAAGTGGATTAGTTTAGCTCAAAACTTGAGATATCGGGTTAGAGAAAAAAATAGAAGAAGAACAGGTGAATGAGGAGAACAACTTTTTCACTCTCCTTTTGTTCGTTTGGGCCCTACACAAAAGAGGCTTTTATCGTATTGAAGCATCTTAAATTATTGCCTTCACTTGTCTGTCACGCTGTATTATTACCTATCACTACAAGTCTACTACTACTAACGTTTTGAACGTGGTGCACTGATTCCTAATTAATGATTTCGTGCTGGATCGCATTACACGACACCATGAAAATAAAATAAAATTATACGTAAGAATTGTAAAATATTTGAAGCATGCACGTTCTGAATTAATCAGATCATAGAATAAAAGTGTAGATCTACCAATGACAATGATTGTACCTAATTATTTAATTACAGGGATAAGCAAGATAAAGTAATTAAAAAAACAAAGTCACTCTTCCCAAATGAAGTATTTCAATATACACATACCCAGCAAACAAATTAAAACTTTTTAAGCATATTTCAATGTATATACTCTACAATCGTTGTAGAGAAGATGCAATTAATTAAGTTCTTAGGAGGTAATTCTTGTTCATTTTTGAGGTCAATGTATATAAGATGAATTAATTAAGCGTTGTTGTTTCTGCGTTTTCTGGTGAAGAAGACGATCCAAGTGATGACTTCGAGCAACAAGGCAATGACAGCCAGAGCAGCAATGGCTGCCACGTAAGCAATCTTCCATCTTCTGTGAGGGCTCAAGATGTTGAATCCTCCGAATATGTTAATGATTCCAAGGATGATGGTAATATATCCAATACCATGATGATACATATTCCACCAAGTTCTGTATTTGTGCTCCTTCTTTGGTCTCAAGAACAATGCAAAAACCTGTAATTTTATTTTTTTATCGTCACACTCAATAAAGATGCTCAATACATATCATACCATTATAATCACATATTACAGCATCAAACTTATAACAAGTCACATTATTCATAACTTACAAGCTGCATGTTAGAAATACACATGCATGCTTGTATTAATAATAATGTGCCATACAATGTTACAACAAGCACAAGCCTAATGGGTCTTTCGATCAATAAAAAGACGTCATATCCTAATTTAAAGACTTAACTTAAGTTTATGAGTTTTTTTCTTTAATTTATATTAATTATTTTTTTAATCTAAATATTAATTATTAAACTCTACTTTATGTATATAATGTACAGAACTTCTTACATTATCTTAAATTCACCTACGTTTACACAACCTAATAGATATGAAACTCATAGCATACAACTACTGCTTTATCTTACTAAATAGGATCAGCTACGTGTGAGTACCAGTATAACAGTATGACTTATTTATATATATTTATTACCTGTAATGTTGCGAGACAGAAAAGGGCAATTCCAATATTGCGATGGCCAGAATGGTGAATGCCATGAGATTCACTTCCTAGCTTAAGCCCAATGGCCCACCCCGAGACTCCAATGGCGTATCCTGAAACTTGACAGAACACATGCAGATAGAACCATGCAGGGTCCAATGACGGAAACACCCTCATGTATCTTGCTATTATCACTCCCAATGGGAACAGAAACCCCCAGCTCACTGCATTTAGCACTCCATGAATCTGCCATTTGTTCATTAATATTCATTGTAACGTCAGCCTTCATTAATCATAATAATCAATTAATAAAAACTGAAGGTTAATTATTTTAATTAATTAAATTACATTCTTTTGCTGTGTTCTTGAATCGGCCCCGCCACTGATGCTGGAACTCTGGCCTGACTTCAAGTTCAACACGCCCTTGGAATCCAGATTCGCCGGAGCAAATTCATGAGAGTCAAGTCCTCCGTCGGTGACTGAGGGCCCCACCTGCCACACCTGGTTCACCGTCTCTGCATTTTCCGGCAGCTTCACCTTCGCCAAAATGCTCAACATCGCCCCGCCGGATAACTCCTCTGCCTTCAAGTCCCACACGTCGAACGACAGCTTCCCGGGGACTACCGAACTGTAAGAGCTAATGTTATAAGTCTTCGCCGTCACTACGCCCTCGTTTTTGAACGCCACCAGAGCCTGCGCTCCGGCCATGCCAGTCCCGGTCGGGTTTATCGCCCAAGAAACCCACCCGCCAGGCTTCGCCGGAGCCGCGACAAAGGCGATGGAAAGAGAAGAGTTGGAAGAATCAAGGGTCCAATGGAGGTAGGAGTTTAACACAGGAAGGTCAACGCAATTCGAATAAACTTTGTTATCGGAGAACTTCTGGGAGGTGCATGTGAGTGAAGTCGCCGGAGAAGGCAGCGACACCAGAAGTGAGAGGCCCAGAAAGAGAGGAATAGTAATGGAACGTGGCAGAGACATCGTCGTCGTCGTCGAGAGAGACTAGCTAGAGACAAGACAACTTGGGTACGTGTTCGTGTGTTTTTTTATCTTTCTGACGTATTTATCTAAGGTGGAGATTAAACAAAAAGCGAAAGACACGCCAATAAATCTGGGGAAATATGTATTGGAGAGAAACAAATGTGTTGGAAGAACGTTAAGCTTTTCTGCTTCGAAAGGAAATCGGACCGAAACTTTCTCCAGATTTAGGAAATGTTCGGTTTATTTTTCTATTTGGAACCGAAGCATTGTTTTGTCTGGTTTTTTTTTTACTTTTAGGAGTTAATTACAACGCCTTTCATAGTTCCATCTGATTTGCTTGTTTCTCAAAGAAGAAAAACTTAGGTCGATTTTTTTAATAAAAATATGAATTTTAGAATCAAATATTCACCATTTACAATTCAATGAAAAATATTGCAGTACTCCTTGAGGGATCTAGATCCTCTCTGCGGATCCAGTTTGGCACAAGACAATCTAGATTTGATATGATTTTATTTTTATATTTTTAATTAATTATTATTTTGATAGGTGCATAATTTAAAATAAAAATAATTTTATAATTGTCACTTGGTAAAAAATGATTTTTTTATAAAAAATTGAATGTTAAAAACTTTAAACATGAACTGTTAAAATTAGTTTTGGATGGTCTAAATAAGAATCTAATTACAACTTACAACATGTCAAAGTTCAATAATTAAGCTACAATTGAGTCAAAATTATAGAGATTAAATAATTAATTTTTTTATTGATAATATTTAACGTGCAAAATTTAAATTGAAAAGTCATATTCTACTATGGTAAAGAAACATAGGTCATTGTAACATAGGACATCTTTACATGTCTTCATATATTTTAATTTCTCTCTTTAATCATCGGCGATATACTTGAAAAAATTTATTTCAGATGCAATAACCATAAAGGTTGGATAAATTCTTATCATAATCTCAATTTTGAGATGAGAGATATTCAACAGGTTATATTAGTTGTGTGAGATTTATTGTATTGGATTTATTTAAGTTTGAGTTAAGCAGTCTAAATCTTTTTTTTTGTATTTAATATGAATTATTATTCATATTTTAATGGATAAAATTATTTTATTTGATATTCCCTGTTAAAAATAAAAAAAAAATTATTGACAATATTAAATTTAAATAACTCAAACTTGAAGTAACCGTTTCCTTTTCTTGTTTTTTTTTTTTGTTTTGGTCCTATATTTTTTGCGAGCACGTCTAACGTAAACCTTCTAGTTCGCAGTTAGAATTTTTTTTTTTTTTCAAAGTCAATGTGAGAAAAAAGTGTCTGGTAAAAAAAAAAAAAACCTTATAAGAAAAAAGTACTTACAAAGAGCAGGCAAATAAATAAATAAATAAAGTGAGCAGGAGCTATCCAACGGCGAGCACATCCCGTGCTCATCGCACGCTTTAAATTTTGTTTTTCGGTACATGAGCATGTTTTAATTTTGTCAATCTTTATCGTTCATTTTAAATTAATTATTTAATATTTTATTATTAAAATAAAAATTCATAAAAAATATGAAAACCTTTATATTAAATCTATATTATACAAAGTATATTTAAATAATTAATTTATAAAAATTATAAAAATTTTAATATTAAATTGAATTGTTTAGGTTATATATATATGATCCAAAGTATATCTAAATAATCAATTTATAAAAAATATAAAAATTTTAATATTAAATTAGATAGTCTGAATCAAATCTGCACTAGCCAGATTGATTACAAATAAATATATTAAAAAATTATAAGTTTTATTTTAATAAATATAAAATAAAGATAAAAAGTTTTAAATCTGGACATTACAAATCTCATCAAATGAAATAAGTAATATGGTATTCATCTCTTGCTGAGCCCACAAGACAATCCATATTTAATATTAAAATTTTTATATTTTTTTATAAATTTTTATTTTAATAATATAATATTAAAAATAATTAAAAAAATAAAATTAAAATGAACGGCAGAGATCGCATGATGATAAAATCAAGTGAGATGATGAGCACGAAATGTGAATGCCTATCCAACGGACATGAATTAAAATAAGTTAATAATGGATCAATCTCATAACGCCATGCATACCCTTTGCTCATAGTCATCTTAGGTTCAATATATGGTAACCTATGTGCCCCTATTATCTCGTGGAAAGGCCTTAGGCACGATGATCATTTTTCACCTTATCTTTATATTTTAGCTGCAAATATGCTTTGTGCTTTGTTATCTTAATATGAGGAGCGGTAAATACAGGACCTTGAGCCAATTAGGACAAATTTTTAAAAATTCCACCTAATCGTTGTGGATTGTTTGAAGTTGAGTGGGGGCACTTGCCCACCCTCACTAACACCTGCATTTGCCACTGATTATGAGGAAGTGGATTTGGTAAAGGAAATAAAAATATGCACACTAGCCTGTCTAGTCTCATTTACTTTTTGAAGACGATTCCTTATTTTTCTTTGAGGCTAATTATTTTTTTGTTATTAAAGATGTCTTTGCTTCTTATTGCAAATGGTCTGGACAGTCAATCACTGCAAGGAAGTCTTCACTTATTTGTAGTCCGAATGTGTCTTCAGGCATCAAAAATGTAATGTCTACTGACTTGGGAGTCACTCTCCCTGATGAACTTGAGAAGTATCTTGGAACTTGCTTGGGTTGATATAAAAACAAGTAAATTTGTCATTTATTCCCAAGTGTTGAATTCAGTTAAAAGTAGAACCAACTCTTGGAGATGCAATCTTCCGTCTCAAGCTTTAAGGTTGACATTGAATTGGTCATATCTGCCTCTTGTATTTATGTCCTTTCATGTGTTAAGCTTCCCAAGTCCATTTACAATGCAATAGATACCCTCAATTTGAAGTTCTTATGGGGTAACATCGATCAAACAAGGAAACTCCATCTGAAAGTAAAAAGACTTTGTTCTCTCTTGTAAATCAAGGGGGTTTGGGTCTTTGATCAACTGCTTTAATGAACAAATCTCTTTTGGAGAATTGTGTCAGGTGACAATCACTCAATCCTTGGCTTGACCTTCAAACTTAAGTTTGTTAATCTCAATTCTCAATCTAGCCTTATAACTCTTATTGGATGTGGAAAGGGATATATATATGTCCTTTGCTGATCTCATCCTCCCAAAACTCTCTTGGCAAGTTGGCTTCGGTCATAATATTTCTCTACATCATTAGTTATGGTACGAGTCAAACTCTCTTACTCTTTTGACTAACCAAAATACTTGACACTACTCCTCTTACTGTAAATGACCTACTTCTTAATCCATCTGTGGGTTGGTCTGGGAAGCTAGGAATGGAACAAGCAGCTTATTGCTTCAATTTATGATCATAGTATTTCTAAGTTAATCTTCAAAATACCATTACCCTTCACTCAATCACATATAAGATAGTTTGGTTTATTTGTAGCACAAGTTCTAGAGATATTCTGTTAACAAAGGCCATGATTCCTCTCTTCCAGTCATAATAATGATTCTATTCTCTTGAAATTTTCATATTGGAAAGAGTTTTGGAAACTGCCTTTGCCTTTCAAACACACATTATTTGTGTGGAAAATTCTAAATAAGGCTCTCCCAACTATTGATATCTTAAGAGAGCATCACCTTGATAACAACAATCTATGCACTTTTGGTTGTGACAATAAAGAAACACTTGATTACCTTTTTGCTAGCTACGGGTTGACTAGAGCTGTATGGTATGGATCAATACCACATACTTTCAAGATTCTTCTATTGTTAACTAGTTGCTCCGGTTAAGGATAGTGACTTTGATGAGATGAAACAAATCTTTGTTCTCCTTGGCATGGTTTGGTTCCAACGTAACAACAACATTTTCCATGGTGTTCAACCAGATGAAGAGAAGTTTTTGAAAGAATTTGAAGCCAATGCCATATTATTACAAATATTTGGAAATGAAATCTGTCATCGATTCCTAATTTTGGGCCTCTTATGTATTCTCCTGACAATTATTTAGAGGTTGGGTCTATCTGGATGTACAAACACAAGCAGCGGAAGCAGGTATTTGCTAAGTGTTTATCTGCCAAATGCTTTTTCACTTCTATGTCTAAGATATCATGTGGGTTACTAATCATTGTTATGATTATGGGCTGTCTTTGGATCTTGTGCACATAAACTGTGCTCGAAAAGATTTATATCTGCTAGATTTATAAGGTAGCAATTCTGCCAATGTTATTGTCCAAGATATTCAAGTCTTATAGGCTAAAATTTACGAGTTAGGCATTCAAATGTGGTTTTTGATGAGATGTTTTTTTATGTATATAGTTTTTCTCTTTGGTTTTTCAATTCCACTTTAAAGTTTTTTTTTTAGTTCTACTTTTAAAGTTATAACATTTTATTGTA